TAAATTGCGTTTATGAAGACGAAGTGGCGTAAACTACCTTCTAAGATATTGAGTGAAGACCAAAATTTCAAGTAGGTATATCGCATGCATTTGAATTGCACATGAGGATCACCCTTGGAATTACTCCACAGGGGTGATTAACTGGGCCATTTAATTAGAGACTCAGTGCCGTCGCGGTCACATTCGCATTAACTTTCATTTCCAAAACAGTACGATCGATTGTGTTTTCAATAATTGTCACGTAACAGATGTTAATTTACAAGTAGGGTAAATCGTCACATTCATTGGTAAAGCTGAGATTCTATAAGACTTGTTAAGGGGGGTAACCTTATTCCACTAGAGTCCGGTTACCTTGGGGTCAATTTACATCTGTAGCTATAATAATGCAGTTACTGGTTTTTGTGCAATTGTTATGCATCAAAGGTCTCGCTAAATTTGAGTTGCAGTTCCAACGATCCATGTTCTAGAAAGACATTACGCTATCCAATCATCCAAATTTTGTAACTCCAAACCAAATGAATACAGCGCTACAGCGCTCTCGTATGCTTTTTGCAAAGTGGAACACGAAAAGAAATGAATAGCAATAAAGTCCCGTACTTTCAGCTTTCATTTCCCGTTTCCATTTAAATCCATCTATGAAACCGTATGTGTATTTTATTTTATTTCGCCATTCCCATCTTGTCAAGACGATATCGGGTAAGGAAGAGGGAATTGTTGCAGGTGCCTGTCCCCTTGTTAAAAGTTACAAATAGTCTCAACCCTTTTCTTCTAACTTTTGTTTACCTTCAATGAGCTTAGGTACCTACCTATATCCACACCGAATTAGGATCCGATTTAATTTCTATTGTTGTACATTATTTACGGGTAGTGCCAATTACGTACATTTACACTCATTACTTTTTTTAAACTTGGCTTTGATTTAATTCGTCACACTATAATAAAATGTATAATGTAGGTATATTTTAATTGCCAATAGGCATAAATTATCTTCGACGTCTAATTTTATGCAAATAATGCACGGTTCGTATGCAAAACGTTTACCTTCTCGCCGAGCTGACGGCACAATTCAATTCAATATAAATTTAGCGAAGTGACAAATGTTTATGTATATTCGGTTCTATAGAAGTGCATTAGCCTAATTTGTCTTGTAAATGGAGAATGTTTAAACAATTTTATTTCAAGGTGGTAAACGAAATTTAAACTCGGCGATGCGCAAAGTAAGGGTGTGAATATAAATTGGGGGGCATTTCACGTGTAAAGGTTTCTTAGGAAAGTGTGTTGAATAAATCTTGTACGCTTTTTACATTTCCATTTCATTAGAGACATTCAAGTATAGTATAGAGCTAAAAATTTACACATCCGACATGCAATAAGTTGTAATTTTTATGCTTTCTGGGACTTAAAAATATTTGTATACGTTTATATTTCACTTCAAAAATCCAATCAAAATTGGAAAATAATCTACTGTAGCGAATTTATATGTCTCTGGTACAACCGTCGTTCATGTGTTTTAAGATGGGGGCAGTGTAGTGAATTTTCTAGAGAGATACCAATTCATCAACACCGGCGATAAGGGATGAAAGAATATGACGCAGTCTTTTCAGGAAATATGATATTGTTGACTCGAGAATGCTCCCGAAGCTTTTGATTTGCTATATAACTAAATTAAATTGTGGTTAATTGATGCTCCAACATCCATGTCGAAGTGATGAATAGCGAAATTCGCGCTCGTGTTATAAATTGGGAGTACAAGTATACGATAAATAATAATTACCTCTTATACAGGGTCGTCCAAACGGATGATTATTTTTTAACATTAAATAAAATAAGTATTAAAAAGGCTCTGATGTGCCACCACTGGACTTCAATTCTCCAATTTTACTTTTAAGAATATACGTTATTACGTAATATTTACAATGTGAAATTCAGAAGTGGTTTTCCAAAATAATAAAAGACTTTAATTTCAAATAATGAATTCCAAGTTTATTTTACAGTTTAAACAATGAAATCCAATATACTCGTACAAATATGTATAACCACTGAATCGTATTTCAGAGAATTTAGAGAATCTAACGGTTACGTGACGTTATTAAGCCCCCCAGGTACGATCATGAAATTGATAAAAATTAAGTGTTTTCAACAACACAATTTGCGGAAGAAGCCCCAAATTTTCCACAATCTTAATACAAAGTTCGCATAATTTCGCTCAAATGTGAGGTGATGTTACTCCATATTTCATGATTACTTTTAAGTTGGTAAGGGTATGCGTAAAATTCCAACTTCAATTTTCCCGCAAATGATATTGGCACTGCACTCGTTGAATTTTCCAAATCGCATGGATTTAAATATCAATCCTAACAACACGGGAATAGATTTCATCTGTCAGAATAAGCGATCTTACTTTTTGGGAAAGACAAAATTAAATAAGCAGTCGCAAGTTGTATTTCAACCGCAATTGTTGTCAAAGGTGTCAATATTGATTATTGATATATCAGATGTCGCTAAAAATCTTGAATTGATTGACTCTAAGTTAAGGTTTTTGGGATCACATTTCTTCATGCATATGAAAAACTATATGCAATCTTAAACTAATTTATAACCAAAGACATTTTTTAAATAGTAGAACTGAAATGCATTTTTGTGATTCGTTAGTCCTGTCCCAATTTAATTTTTGTGATTCTGTGTATGGGCACCGTCTTGATAGTGCTACCGAAAAAAGAATTCAAAAAATACAAAATCCTTGTTTACGATTAATTTTTGGCATTGTTAAGTATGAATCAATTGAGTACAAGTTGGCAATAAATTGGTTGAGCATGTAACATGTTTATGTGTTTACTACTATAGTCTAATTATTTATTACATCAACTTGTTTATATCACAAGACAATTACTACCAAAACTCCCTCGTATCTCTATAAGTAATATTTAATAAAATACCGTTTTCATCACAAATTCATGATTTTTGTTTAAGAAATACAAATTTACTTGGTATACGTAACCAAGTCGCAGCTATACAAGCGATCTTTTTCATACAATATTGCGAAGTGCTACCTGATTGCTTTTGATCATTCTAAATTTCGTGTACGCCATTTCCTAATTAGTAACAGTCGTTTAAATTTGGCAAGACTGAACTTCGTCCCTTTGGACACTACTTTTTTTAAATTATTTGTTTTATTTTTTTATTATTATATTATCGAGATCGAAGTATGTCCAATAAATGGCTTATTGTTATTAAACAGATCTTCGTGCTCCAAATATACCTGTAAAGCAAATTTCCAATGGGCAATGTTCTATTTACCGTCCAATTTTTCAATTTGAAAAATTTGGTTTCACGACGACATTCATACACACACTATAATATTCTATTTCGTTAATTTTACACACTTAAAGGAGATTCATAAATTATCAACTTCGGGAATAGATTTCATCTGTCAGACTAATCGATGCAGGAATAACACAATAGTACGAATATAATGCCGAAAACCCGAAAGTTCTATCATATTCTGTTGCCGAGATCTCGGTCGATTTACAAAAGATGTTGAAATATATGAGTCTTACTCAAAATTAACATTTAAATTCAAAAATACTTTACAAAAGGGAATCAAATCGTCAGAGAATTATTATCAAAATATACTTCCGCAGAAGTAGCGGAATTAAAATTGTTTAAATGACTATCACACAAAATATATGAATTACAATTCGACTGTATCGTAAGCCTTTGTGCACAAATGTTATTTATTTATTTTTAGTCTTTATTTTTAAGTGGCCGGGGTTTCTATCAAACCGACCCACATTTACATTTACAAATGTCTATGCCCGAACCCGGACCAGGGACCCTTAGTACAGCAGTTGAGCTTCAACTCCAATGTGCCACACGGGCCGGTTACCTCACGGAGATACGACGAAAAAAATATTACCTTTGAATCTTGGTCTCGGCCGTCTGAATTCAGAAGGACGCTCTCTGTCAATAATCTGAAAAAAGAGAGGGAGTGATAGCGTAGCATATAAAGTGCGAGAATAAATCTAACTTTTGTCACGTCGGGTATATCTATTTATTCATAACCAAAACTGGTTTTCTTTATTTAACCGCAAGGAAGCTAAAAGGGAATTAGCAATATAAAGTAACAATCTCGGTTAGAAATACAATTTTATTTCAGATGTAAATAGAGTAAATTAATATTTATACTGCAGTACGTGTGTATATTCGGGATGTGATAAATGAAGCGGGTCATTGTTGTAAAACAAAAATTTATTGAGTGATATTTTACTAAGATGATACCTATAAATATGAGTGCAAATAGTGGGACAGCAGCATTCGTTAGTTAGTGAAGTTAGTTGTGTGAAGAATCACCAGAGAAAGGAGGAGAAGAAATAAATTGTAACATCCGTCCATAACTGCATGTGGCCCTTCTACACTTTTTCAGGAAACAGTTTTTGGAAATGAAGAGCTTCCATAAATACGTGTAAAAACCCCACAAACGTTAACTCACTTGGTTCTCACTAACGAACACGTCGAAGCTTTAGTTCCAGGCGGTTTCGAGTTTGAGTAATGACCCAAAACACTACGGTTTCCATTAGAAAAATCAGTTTTCCTTTGTTCTTACTCAAAATTGTAGCTGTTCCTTTTTCTTTTGTAATTTTTTTCTAAAGTCAATAAATGACTTACCAAACGTACCGAAAGAAGCATTCTTACGTTTTATCTAGTTAGCCATAAAGGGCATTCACGTGAGCTCGTAAAACTGCAAATTATCCCCTAACCGTCTCTGCTAGTTTTCGACGTCTACACTCAACTCACCCTGCATATCAGACAATGGTCAAAATTAATTGGAAATTTATACATTCTACGACGTAGAATAAGTACTCTCATTACTGGCTTCTCCTGTTTTACATATTTCTGCGCGTCCTGTCTGTATAGTATGACGTGAATTGCCAATACAGTTGATATAATATCTTATACTTTCGCAGCATTACAACATGCAAAATTAAATTACAATAATTGTTTCAGTCATGTGAACAAAACGACGACTTACGAAAATCCATCAGTGAGAAATATGGAGCCGATAGCGATTCCAGAGCCCCGTTCCGTCACCCTCGAGCGATCGACAATAATGGGATTTGGTTTTGTGGCGGGATCGGAAAAGCCCGTCGTTGTGCGTTTCGTCACGGAAGGTGGTCCAAGCGTCGATAAGGTAATTGAATATCTCATTATTTTGAACGACGACGCCCGACGCGACGCGTGCACCTGTATAGCTTTGGACCCGTTTGATCTTATTCCGCTCAACGAACAGTGGCAATTGATGATACCAGTTAACTTACTTTTGTGGAGAATCATTTATGATACCTACTAACTAGCAAATTGGACGAGCAAAGTTATAAAAGATGGAGGTAGATGACAAGGTTCTTGGGGCAATTGCACATTTCATAAAAGGAATATTCTTATGAATCTTTCTTAAAAGTTCATTATGCATAATTATTTCAATGCCTGGGGGCATATGGCATTTACTACAGCGTTCTCATTAAATATTTAAAGAGCGCACTTCGGATAGCACTCCTTCAAGACGTTCTTCTCAATTTTTAAGCATTAGTTGACTTTTTAGCGCATTTTTATACATATACCTACTTAGCCATCAGCATATTATATGTAATAATTTCGCGTATGTAAAGCTAAAATCAACTAACGAACGAAAAGCACAAACTACGACAGTAGTTAAGGAGAGTAAAGCCTTTCTGTACACTTCGTAAGTGTTTATTGGAGTAAACATGTAATTTGAAGGCACAATTACTATTATAGGAAAACCTCCCTTTGAAACAACAAACTTTGTCTTTGATTGTACTTCACTGTAACTAAATCTAAATATTGCACACGTCGTCATAGTAAGTTCATTACGCCGACAGACTCTCAAAATTCGGTCCAAGGAAAATGCAAAAATTAAACCCTCAATATAGCTTTGAAAGGCCAGTCATGCACTGACTGAGCTAAATAGATTTGAAAGTACCATTTTAGCTTTTATGTTTATATCGATCTTAGCTTTAATTTCTTCCATTGATACCGCAGTAAATGGTTTGCAACTTGCACTTCCCCTATCTGGGCGAACACTTTTTTGCCCAAATGTATCCACGGCTAGCTCAACTAAATACTGTCTTCAGCCAAATACATCTCTTTCTTTTCAAACTAGAAATGGTTGCTTCGTTGCTTCAATTATCATCCCCTGGATTTAACAAAAACGAAGGTGATTACAACCCCGTTTTAACCAACTCTTTTCCATTCTGTCAATCCAGTTAGAAACCTCATTAATTAAATTTACCTTAAAACGTTTCGAAGAGAAGAATTTTTATTTTGGACCACGCACTAGGCTCCAGACCATCTCGTCTTAGTCCCTACTTCCGTTTAATTATTTTCCGCACGCCCCAAATGACGCTAATTAGTTCAATCGACCATCTTTAATCGCTAACCAATCGGCGTCGTCTATCTCAACAAATCACACGCGTGCCAACATTCAAAGCCCACGGCCGTTTTTAACACTACAACCTAGTGCTTCCGCGCATGTTCACCTCTTGTTTTGTCACAGTTTGAAGTTACATACATACTAAAGAATTCGACACATTTTAAAGCATATGATGATGTTTCTATCGATGGCTTGTTGTGGTATTTGTCTTCTGACCCTGAGTGCCTATATTTCTTTCAGCTTATTTGATTGATTGATGCCGAATAAATTTGATGCATCTGCAAATGGTTAGTTTGTGCTTAATGAAGCCCAATAAACTTCTTCGTGAACGCTTAATTCGACTAAGACCACATCATGCTGTAATCCTGATTTAACTATTTTGGTTTAGATTGTATTACCACCCGCCAAACTGGCGTTTAATCGTTCACGAGGCATCCGTAAACCAATAACCCGTAAAATATAGATACAGATTCTTAAGAACCCATTGACTATTAAAAATTTTAAAATAATAACATTTTGGAACAAACAGCTCTATAATGGAAGCACCTTGTATACTTCAACACCTAAAACCGATCTACCTTAAATATATTCAATTCGCAACCTTACAAAAAATTGAAAAAATACTCCCCATGAAAGGGCTTTCGTTACACAAGACTTTACGGGTGTAAATTTATTACAAAAAATATCCGCGCATGTTCACCTCTTGTTTTGTCACACTTTGAAGTTACATACATACTAAAGAATTCGACACATTTTAAAGCATATGATGATGTTTCTATCGATGCCTTGTTGTGGTATTTGTCTTCTGACCCTGAGTGCCTATATTTCTTTCAACTTATTTGATTGATTGATGCCGAATACATTTGATACATCTGCAAATGGTTAGTTTGTGCTTAATGAAGCCCAATAAACTTCTTCGTGAACGACTTATACATTCACTTTTAATGATGTATAAAAATGTCTTAGAGTCAGGGCCGGATGTACATATTTTGCACCTATGGGCCCGTCGCAATTTGTCGCCCCCCCCCCTCCCCCCAACCAATTAAAAACATGTTATACCCCAACCAAAATTATTTTTTACTCTTTACAGAAAACGTAATACGATTTACTTGCTCTTCATTTGCTCAGATTGATTTAATTGGTAGGAAAAACATTAACTATAAAGTGTTATTCAAACAAAGTATAATATCTGTAGTTTGAATTACAAACAAATAACTTTTTTTTAGACAAATGTACTTCTTTTTTTTAATATTTCCGCATCATTACATCATTTTAGAATATACATTATTACTTAATATTTGCAATGTGAAATTCAGAAAGTTTTCCAAAATAATAAAAGACACTAATTTCAAATAAGATATTTTAAGTTTATTTTACAGTTTAAACAATGAAATCCAATATATAAACGTAAATGTAACCACTAAATAGTGTTTCAAAGAATTCAGAGAATCTAACGGTTACGTGGCGGCTAGAGGCCCTTGCGGGCACCTTTATTAAGCGTTTTCAACAACAAAATTTGCGGGAAAAGCCCTAAATTTTCTACAATCTCAAATTTCGTCGAAATGTTACTCCATATTTCATGATTACTTTTAAGTTGGTAAGAGTATGCGTAACATTCCGACTTCAGTTTCTTAAGAGGTTATGTTATTTTTCCACGCTAATACTATGGAATTATTACCCAAATTTGGTTTTTTGGAGCCCTTAAATACTTGCCGCTATGGGCCCGGGCCTACATGGCCGCATGTTAAATCCGGCCCAGCTTAGAGCGCTCAACTGATTTTCTTTTACAAAAACTTCTCAACTGGCAAGACGAACTCACTTTTCAGAAAGCTTCGATAACGACAAACGGCCAAATACGCACAAAACAATAAACGGCTAGGTTTCAAATGGTATCAAACCAAACAAGCCTCCGCCTCTTCTATTTAAAACAATTTCCCGTTCTTTTCGACTGCCACCTCCACTTGAACGGTAATTGCACCTGAAACTAATTAGCTTACGCCGCGATAACAAAACTTTTTATCTACGACCGAAGATAAACTTTTACAAATCCTACGCAACTATTTCCAGATATTTAAATCTAGTCTTTTAACACGTAATGAAATTGACCAAATAAATAAAATACAAGGTGATTACTCCTGTGATTACTTAAACAAAGTTAACAACTGATAATTCTGACAAAAACACAAAATTGACTTCGGATTAAACTGAAATAGTCGAATGTCCAATCTGAAATACAACCAAATTTTAACCCAACATCGCCTTATAATGCCACCATAAATCTGCGATTGGAATGAACGCGTTGTCCTATAATGAAATCTTTTTTACAGCTTCTCCCTGGGGACCAAATTCTTGCGGTAAACGGCGAAGATGTAAAGGATGCGCCAAGAGAACATGTAATTGCTTTAGTGAGAGCGTGTGCAACAACCGTATGTCTAATTGTGTGCCAGCCTATGCAAAAAAGCGGTGCTCGCAAGTCCACATTCTTATCAGCTAGCAAAAGGGCGAGACTTCGAAGTAAACCATCAAGGGTTCGTTTTGCAGAAAGTGTATGCGTGAATGGTGCCCCGCTGTTTCCAGTAAGTGAAAGTACCTAAGTTAAGAAGTATTATTAACGATTCGTTTGTATAGCCGTCCGCGTTTTCTCTGGGTGACGTTTGCGTGCCTCCGATGGCAAATGTTCTCAAAGTGTTTTTAGAAAACGGTCAAACAAAATCATTTAAATACGACGCATGGACGACGGTGCATGACGTTGTAACATCGCTGCAAACAAAGCTATGCCTGCAAGCTACGGAGCATTTCAGTCTTGTTGTTGAGCACATCAAATCGTTGAAGCGTAATAAGTTAACGTTGTTGGATCCCACAGATACTTTAGCTAGGGTAAGTTTTAATAGATCATAATTGTAAACGTTTCCATTCCTCCTTTAGATAGCATCAAAACCGGGTGCACATAAATTACGGTGTTTATTTCGAGTGGCTTTTGTGCCTTCTTCGGCAGCAGCCCTTGCACAAAGAGATCTTGCAGCTCTCGACTATTTATACACACAGTGTTGTAATGACGTAACACAAGAAAGATTCGCACCGGAATTACAATACGATACTGCCTTACGTCTAGCTGCATTACAAATCTACCAACACGCACTATCAAACAACATCTCTGCTGCCAAACTTACCGTTAAGACTGTTGAGTAAGTACATTTCGATCACCCAATTTTATTTTGATCTGTGACTTGTAGAAGAGACTTTGGTTTGGAACGTTTTGTGCCTGCTTCACTTTTAGAAAATATGAAACGTAAGGAAATACACAAAGTCTTGTCGCACTTTTTCAAATTGCACGCCAGTATGGCCGGTCCTGGTAAACAATTAACTGCCCTCCAAGTTAAAATACATTATTTGGATCTTATTAGTCAACTACCAAGTTACGGTGCCAAATGTTTCTCTGCCGGTCCCCGGGCAGATGCAATGGAACGAGTCATACTAGTTAGTCCCAAATTTGGATTAAGCCAAATAATTGGTACCAGGAACTCTGTGGTAAGCTGCCGTTTAGAAATATAAGCGTAAACATTAACGTCTTTTGTTTAGCCCCTACCGATCGCCAATTTAGAAGATATTAGACGAGTAGAAGTAAGAAATGAGGATGAGTTAAGCCGAGCAGTATTAATCAAATTACATAATGAGAGAATAATTACAATAACGTTGGAAGAAAGAGACGCTTCTGAGCTCGTTTTAGTATTAAGCGGTTACTTTAAGTTAGCTACAGGTCAAAATCTGCCAGTGGATCAGGAAGAATCGCCTCCTCTAGAAGATTTGGCCCCGCCATATTTGTCGCAACATAGAGTGGTGCCGGAAAAATGGAGCTATATTAGTCAAAGCCAGGTGCGTAGTATCTGCTTCGCGGTTCATCCCGCTTATCAAGGCATCAACCACAAGACCAACGGTTTGTACAACACTGTGGGAAGGCAGAGCAAGCCGCCCTTCATGCCCGGATTCAGTTTAGATAGTAATATGAATAGTTCAATGACAAACAATAGGAATAATCAAATTAGGAATCATTTCCGATTTTGTGATAGTAAGTCAAATTCATATGACTTGGAGAGAGTTGCTTCCATGGAGATTTTAGAAACTTCGCAAAGTGATGATGTATTGAGACGAGTGCAAGAGATGCATCAGTTAGTTGAGAATTCTGAAAAATATTTAAATGAGCAAGAGGAGTTTAACAGGCATGCTTCTACAGAGTGGCAAGAAACGAGTGTCGATATCGAGAGCGACTCTGAAAGCCAGTTTGCTGACGACGCACCCGGAAAATTAAAACACAGTGACTCTTTGCTGCTGTTAACGCAAGGTCGTAAGTACTCGGATGAGACGAAACACTCATATACAAATACTACCATTGAAATTTTACGTAGCGAAAACAACCATTCAGAAAGTGATAACGACTCAGTGTGCACGCCACACAATTCGCCAAAGCATAGGATAAATAAACTAGGTGACAATTTTAGTAAGAGTAGAGTAAGCTTCGGATTACGTAGTCCAGATAATGCGGGTTCTAAAGAAGAGGATTTAAAGGCATACTTGGAAAGGTTAAAAGACAGTTGCAACAATTCCGATTTAGATAGTTTAACAAATCTCTACTACGATTTTGATCCAGATATTATAGATTTAACTTTAATACCTCCCCCAGTAACACCTGATGAATTGGATTGTGCCTTACCAACACCAATCAATAATCCTCCGAGCAAATTTGCCGATTCGGTTGAAAACTTGAAAATTATCGACCGAAACATTTTAAGCGACAATATTGACTTGGAAGAATTTTTGGCCAGCGTCACGGTTCCTCCACCCATTCAGAAAGTTACGCCGGCAGTAGAGCTGACGCCTGAGGAGATAATGTCTTTCATAATTCCACCACCTCCTGCTCTTAGACGAAGTTTCGAGAACTTGTCGCTTCCAAATCATATTCCAACAAGTGTTTCTAAACAAGAAGATGTGCATAAACGCACAGAATATCAACACACAAACGGAAGCCTTATGAGAAGAAATAGCAATGGAAGCGTTAAATCTAACATAATAGAATACGCAACGGTTGAAAGGAAGGGGGCATTTTCCTGCTGTGCGAAGGGCAAGGTGGAAAAATCGAACAAAGAGCATTGGGACAGTTCAAATGCGTTATGCCCACCTCCGCGAAGGTCATCCGATCAGAAGCCACCAGAACGCCCACCAAAAACTCTGAGTCAAGAGCGCCAACGATCGTATTCGCTAACAAACAATATCGCGCATCACAATTTACAAGCAGAACCACCACCAACGTTGCCTCCACGGGGCGAATTGAACTCGCACGCACCTTCCCACCTGTATTTACCACCAAAGAAACCTCCACTACCTCCCGTGCCTCCGTTAGAGGTCTTAAGACGTAAGAACAGCAATCCGCAACCAAAAAATAGCACAGAGTCTCGCACAGCGTGTATCGGTTCGCCCCATTTACAGAGGAATAGGAACGTTTACAACGCGATCGAATCTGGTTTTGGCATTTCGGACGATCGAAAATTAAACTCGGTTTCAACGGCGATTAGTACACCAACATCGCCACATTTAGGCAGAGGAGCACAACTATCAATGGTACCAGTCGAATGTCCAGATTCACCTAAAACACAAAAGAACCGCAGTTTTTCCCAGGAGTCACCTTCGTCTCGTCAATCGAATGGCCATGCGCATATACGTAGCTACTCTGAGTCTGCCAGCAGTGATAGGAGTTGGACGAAAACTGCGGACGAATCGATACAGCGAAATGGTGGAGTTTGTGTCAAAAACGGATGTATTTCGACACGAGAAAATTTGCTTACAAAGACGGATGCGGCCATGGGCAGTTTGCTGATACGGCTCGATCAAGTTGCCGCTCAGTGTAACGCCGCTCAGGTACACGGAGGAGGTAGTCTTATGAGTGAAGAAAAATTTCAGGTGAGTAAAAATCTTTGTGGGGCTATTCATTAAGGTGGGCCTGTGTAGATCGCGAAAGACGAATTAACATCACAGTCTCTTCAACTAGTAACGTCAAGTAAGATGCTAGTAATTGCCATGTCCGACACCACACTACCCGATTTACCCGAGAATTTAGCCATTTGTTTAACGATACTAAGGAGACTGACTGAACTTTGTCAAGATTTGGCGAATCACACAACGGCACCTTTACAGACGCGAAACCTAATCATAAAAGTGCACGATGTTACGGCAGCATTCCGACATTTATTAACGTCCAATATAGATCGAAGTTCGCAAGCTACAATTGAAGAGCATTTAGCATCTGAAGCTGAAAGCTTAGCGAATGTTTTAGCAACTTTATTAAGAAGCTTGAGGGTATTTTCCCCTTGAACAGTAGATTATTATGTAAATTCAAGTATACTTATCAAAAGTATGAAAGTTGAAAGTTTGGAAGTTAAAATAGTGTTCATTTTGATGTCTCGAATTTAGTTGCAAGGTAAGTGTTCTGCTGATTTCGATTATTGGGTTCCTACTGCAATGAGTAGATGCGAACATCGTCATTTTTAAATGCTTTTGTTCTGAGCCGATTTCGTGCTGAATATTAAGAGCCTTTAATTCGCGCAGAGGAGGGTGAAGTTTTACATAAATTTAGCATGCACACTGTTATTCTATTATTTCAGTTGCCAATTTTACGTTATTGCATTTTTGAATAGAAAGATCTTCTTATTAGCAATTAGCAAACATCACTTTCGGCATTAGCATCCCACAAAATCAGATATCGATATCAATATCCTTAATAGATTTTCGTGATACAATTATTTGAATTTATTAATTTTTTTGCCAAAGCGTTTGGTCCACTAGAAAAAATTTATCTTCCAACTTCAATTCAAGTGTACTCAAACAATAGCTGTTAAGAGGTGATATCCCCAAATTTGTGGGGACGAATTATATTGGAGTAGTCAGTCCCCTGAAACGTACTTTTTGTCAACTCAATAAGTAATCAATTTGCCATGGATTTAATTTATCAGCTATATTAACGAACTGTCCGTCTGTAGCTGTACACCTATATCACCTCAACAAAAGGCTACAGAAAGTATTACAAGCAAATTGCAAATTGAAATTTAAGTAACAAAAATAATAACAAAGGAAGGGTGCTAAATACGATTCCATAAAAGTGTAAAGTAAGTAAATTATTAAAGTGGCGACTAGTTAAAGTGGTTAATTTTTTACTATAAAAATAATGGTATTAGTAAAAGAATGTGACGTACTTTAAAAATAAGTGATTGGTTAGTAGGTAAACTAACAAAGTAGATTTAAAAAATAACTCTGGAGATAGTACCTAGAATGCGTATTGTCCAGATATATTATAAAGTATTTTGGACATAACCTGGAGCATAATGAAAAACCGACTGTCCCCACAGCTTTAGGATTAGCAGTTCCCTGCGGAGGATTTCGCTACTTCCATTTTGTTTCTAGAACACATTAACTAAGAAACACTTCATCTTCTAGTTTTTGAACTATTTCACAGTAGAAATTTTGGTCACGCAAGGTTACCTACACTATTTTTTCCAGTTGATTTTTTGTCTTCTCCTCTGACCCGCTCTTTCTTGTTAGTTTGTTGCTTCTTGCATCTGTTTTAGCTTCTTTTAGTTCCTTATGGCCATCTATTATACGCACCCCCCCCCCCCCAACTATTTAACGAAAACATAAAAAAAACCTCGCGCAATTTTTTTAAAACTATACATAGTGGTCTCTTTTACCCAAAATAATAGGTGAGTAATCAATTCTTTATCTAATGAGTTCTGTTACCAATTAAATTCAAAATCGTTTTATTTTTTCTCTTGTCAAAATCACAAAATTTTTCAAAAAAACGTTTTACAAAAAACAAGAACACATCACACCAAAATCATACTACAACCAAAATAGTCGTTGAACATGCATTTTTTTTACATAGCTCTACTTTTCCAAGGGTCTGTGTATCGTTGAACACTACTTGAGCTTGAATCCTCTCTCCATCAGGATACTTAAAGGATGTTTTATTTTCATCCTAATCAAAGAAAATACAATTACAGTTTGAGTTTTACAGCCCCAACCCAAAAGTTAACCTACT